AGCAGGAATAATTTCACTGATTTTCATGCATTTGCTCTGTATGAAGGATGGATCAAATTGTAGGCGACTGAACTATATTTGCATGCAGGTTGCCTTGCCTATCATTTTTTTATGATAGGAAGTGGATTTCTTGCTGCTGAACAAAAATATCCTAATGGTTAAATCCCTTCACCAAGTACCTTTGACTGAACTCTTACTTTGATAGTAATTTTCTATCTCTTTTTAAAAACAATTTTTCAGAGGAAACTGAAAAGGGTATCATGAAATAGTTATCTTTTTCAAGCCTTACAGAAGCTTCTTTAAGCATGCAGAAAACTCCTAATTTATCAGAGTATTGATGGCAGAACCATAGAAAATCCATTTCTTTGGTTTTAGATAGACTTTTTTTGGATAACAAGAGTTGGCAAAAATATACATAAGAAAGAGTTTCAGGGACTTTGAACCACAGGGGAAGCATGTTTATGAATGCTGAAACTTTGCATAAACTTGATGCATTATCAGGGCTATTGTATCTAGGCTTTTCTATTGAATCTACAAATTGTATGCACCCTCCATAGACTGTGACTAGACCAAAACAATTTTATTTTTTTTTAAATGCTGCAAATATAGGTAACAGTGATAAGACAGAGGCCCTGAAAAGTATGAGATACTATTTCCTGGCATGCTGCTGTTTGTGAGAAGGTCTATAATCTTTTCAGAAACCAGAGGAACCAACCAATACATGATTCATGAAAGAGGATGTTAAAGCAGCATCACAGAATTATTCCAGCCTCCTGATCTGACCTGTCTGTGCCTCTCTCTGAGGTGTGATGCAAACCCTGACTAATAATAGGCAGTGCACCAAGGGATAGCCCTTCTTGCATAACTACAGGGGGGGGAAAAAAAAAAAAGAAAAAAAAAAGAGAAGTTTGCATCCTCCTTCTGCTTCTGAAAGGAAACAGCAGAAATTATTTGAGATCGTACCTGACTGAGCTTGGCTGCTCTGTACTCAGCCTGCCGTATGGTCTGTTGGTGCAATGCGGTGAGTTTCCCTATCCTGTTAGCCAGCTGCTTAGCCAGCGGTACGTTCTGCTCTGCAAAGTCCTGGACTGATGCATCTAATTCCAACAGCTTTATGTTGCAGCTGTCCAACTCTTCACCGAGGATCTAGACAGAAAAACAAGAAAACCAGTGATCCAGGAAGTGTTAGCTTTCTGGTTGATTATTTCTAGTCCAACTTGCAACTTTTATACCCTGTTCAAAGTCTCCATAGTTTGTTCCATTTTTATTCTGGCTGGAAACCAACAATGCTTGTCTAAGCAGGAAGGCAGAACAGCAGGATGTTTGGTCATCTCAAATGTGTGCCATTACTCTTTCTTCTCTCACTTCCTGGCTAAAATAGATAACCATTTTCCCTACCATAGCAAAAGACTGAGTCACTTCAGAGTGATATTAACTGTTTTTGGCCATCTTTCTGTGTTTGTTCTTGAAATAAATAGTCAGCACACATTGCCATGACAAGGATTTTTATTTATTGGAAAGGGGTTTTGTTTTGTTACTGTCTTAAAATATACCCTTACAAACTCAGAAATATGTAATTACTCATTAATGCATGATAAAAACTTTCATTTTCATTAGAAACTTCTTTTTTCATAGCTCGATCTCGACACAGGAGCAGTCTGGATCATGCTAGACTGTTTCAATAGAAACAGATTTTAAAATCAATTTTTCTTACTATAGCTACAAAGTTTCTGAAAAATTTAAAAAGGTAACCTAAAAGGTTTTCAAGGTTTCTCATAGACTGATAACACTCTTAAGGGCTGCAGTTTCTTGGGGAGTGGGTATTTTTTTGTTTGTTTTTTTATACCTAATCATGTTAACAATTCATTGATTTTGTAATATAAGTAAAATAGATCTCGAACACTCTAGCCCCTTTCCAGTTTTAGAAATTTAAATTGAAGTCATCAGATAAAAATTGATTCAGATCACTGCTTTAGTTACAGATGGTTCAAGAAGTTACTTTAAGCTCTTCAGGTTAGAGTTTTCCTGGCAGACACCTTACAGTGTAAGTTATGATAAACAAATATTATGCCATGAACAGTAGCATGACTTAGTGACGTAACTGTCTACATGTAGACATAAAGAAAAATGTTCAACTACTCATCTAAATTCAAAGACACACATATTTCAGGCAGTCGTAAATAAATATCTCTACTATAAAAATGATGCAGAATTTATATGCTGTTTAAAAGTGAGGGAAGGATCCATTTGACTCCAGTTACGTGGATTTAAAACAGATTTTTATTTTATTTTTCGCAATCAGTTTCAATGTTAATAGAAAAATATTTACTGCTGCAATCAAAGCCAACCCAATCTCAGGAGTATCAGTTGAGCGCTGACATAAAACGCAGTTGAGAACACATAACTAAATCTCCACTGACAAAGAGTTTTTGTCTATGCAATGGAAAAACACATTTCACTGGCTTTCTGCTTAATTACTGGAATCAAGGAGATACACCAAATTTAAAGGGATATATTTCAGTGATACCTTGTGCAAAGCAAATGGTACTTTGGAGCATATTGAGAGCAACTCATAAAAATAAAACAGGTAATTTTTGACATACCAGACATGTCAAATCTTCTCCTATTTGGTAAGTTTTGCTTACTTTCAGACAGTAACTTGGGCAAGTTTATCTCTGACTAGTAAAAAAAAAAACCAACAAAACAACAAAACCCCCATCCTCAACAAACTCCTCTCCCATTTCTCCCCCCAAAAACATCCCCTACTCTCATATGATAATCCCAACTTGGCCATTCCACCTCACTACAGACGAGCTTTTTCTGAGCGTGGTACATACCTAACGTTAAGAAAACCTACAAAAAGAACCAAGAATCCTTTGGATTACCCTTAACCATACCCGTTATTGCACCAAATGATATGAGATGGACTACTGGCTAAGTAAAATTCTATTTATCACAAGTAAAGGTGTACTGTAAAGAATGGTCTTTTCAGTACAGACTGGGACAAGGAGCAGTTTGGGAGCTCATTACTCCCAAACAGCATGACTTTATCCATCTGACTTTCTTTTACTCTCAGCTACTTCCTCCAAGTTCTGTTACTCAAGGCACTGTATGGGCTAGTTTGCAAAGAATATAATTTAAAAACCTCATCAGTCAACCCTTATTTCTGTCCATTCTTCTCTTGAACTACATTAAAAAATGTGTCATGCAAGTCTTCACAAATACAACTTTGGCATGAAGTGAGCATCCCAATTCAGAAGAATTTATGGAGTAATCAAACAAGGGAAGCCTTGTCTTACCTTTTGCTCAAGTTTAGCTTGTGCTAAATCATTTGTTTTCTTTTTCAGTTTGGAAAGAATGGCATTTAGTTCATTTGCTATCCCCTGGATTTTCTGACCAAACTCTTGATTCAATGTTTTGATCTGCTGAGTTTCTCTTTCTTTGGTTTGAATCTGTCAACAATAAGAATTAAATTCAGTAACCAGCCATCTCTCCTCCTGAAAGGAAATTAACTTTCAAATAACTTACTTTAATTTAAAGGAGGAAGGTAATGAAACTCCTCTACGTTGTCATAGTTTGACCACACTTGGATACTGTATTTCGCTAAGGTATAAGTCTAACGAAGGGCTACAGATCTGTAATGAACTTATCTACTATATGCTTTACCTGATCCTGTACAGTCACAAGGGCCAGTCCAACTTCTGCTAAAAGAAGAGAGAGTTCAGAAGGCAAAATGGTATAAAGCCCCAAGTACTTATTCTGTTGTTGTTCAGCCATTTTTTCAACAGCCTGGCGATGAGTAGTTACTTCACCAAGGAGAGACTAATGACAGAAAAACAGTATTGTTAAGAATGAGGAGAAAAACATGGTTGTGTAAACTTAGCAAATGCAGACATTACATGCAGCTTGCAACAAAGCAAATTGCTTTCAAATTTTTAATTAATTTATTAAAAAAGATTTTTTTTCTTGGGATTCCCTGGATTCTCATTTGTGATTGTCTGTCCAGTAGTCTGTTCTTGCATGACCACATATATATAGAAAACGTCAAGTTTTCAGTACCTCCAGTAAAATGAGTTTATTTTATTTTGTTGCTTCCCTCCATGCCCCAAACTGCCGAGATAGAACAGAAATGCCACATTCTTTCCATTCACATTCTATAGTTCCCCCATATTTTAGATGAGAGGAGAAAACTTACTAAACAATATGCTAGTATGTAAAATTGCATAAATGCAAATACTTAAATATATCTTAAATATCTTTCAAATAAGGTATTACAGCCCATCAGCTACTTCATGCTTTATGAATCTGTCTAGTGGCTTAATCAAAAACTAATGAATATTGTCGAATTTGAATTTGCAGTGGTTTTGAGCTGACTGACATTCACCAGCAGATTACAATGAAGATAAATATTGTAATTTAGAAATTCACAAATGTGATATACCTGCAGCTCCTGAAGTTGAGTATCCACTTCTACATCAGGGCTTAATAAATATTCTTTTGTTTCCTGGATCCAGGACTTCACAATATTAATCTCTGCTTCAACCTCCTCACGCTCCTTCAGCTCCTGTTTCACCATCTTCACACCTTTCTTCACTTTCTGTTGCATACTTCAGAAACAAAGAAACAATAATTATTTGTGAATAATTAAGTAATGTCTAAAAACATAGCTTTGTCAAAAAATATTGAATAATAAGGATAATGATTAATAGCCCCACACTCAGAGTAATAAAAAGTGGGGCAGTGTTGCAACAGACTACTAAAGCAGCACACTTACATTTCTCATGTTCATTCTTCAGTTCATTCTTTTTAATGAGCAGTTTTATGTATTTTGACATCGAGCATACAATTCTTTCGAAGAAATGCAAATGTTTACAAAACAGACACCTACACCTGAGCTTATCCCCACAGACTGCCCTTATTGTCAAGTGGATGAAGCAGGCAATTCTAGGACATGATTTAGGATGATTCATCATCATTGTAAAACAAACTTCTAAAATAGGTCAGAAAAATTGCATCTTTCTGTCTATTTCTTTCCACTAGAGAATTAACCAGTTCAGATGCGGATAACTATAATTTAAAATAACAAGATAAATTCCACCCCTATTGATGGGATTTGCATTGGCAGAATACCTAGCATAAGGCATGGATCAAATATCTGAACACCATTTTTGATCCAGGGACCTATCTCCGCACTTCCACTAAGACAGAGTTTCTGCACTTCGGATCTCCTGAAAAAAAAATAGAATCTTTTTCAAATGACAAATCTGTGAATGATCTGCAGGACTATTTGTAACTCTTATGTACGTGACGTGGATCTCGCTTTGCTATTCCCATATTTATGTTTGTATAACCTTTCATAGCTGAATCATATCTTATTTACATGAGCATGAGATGATCACAGACCCTATTTCTTAGAAACGAATTCTAAGGGAAGAATGGAATTACAAAAGTGCTAATATCTGCACATTTTCTACAGTGATTGCTATTCTACTGTAATTAATTATGCATGCATGCAATGAACTTTCCACAGGCTAGGTGCAGAGTTTACAATTTTTTCATTCTCTGTCTTTCTCCCGCTTCCCACTGTGGAGATCTAGTTAATGGCATCTTAGTGCAGTTCTGAGGTGGATATGAGTCCTGAAACTTAGCCATAAAACTTCCTGGTTTATACATGACAGGGAAACATTTTAGATTTAGATAAACATTCATATAAACACAAGCTGAAATGTTAAGATCGGTTTCATTTGCATATGCACTAAATTCCCCTGTAAATTTCGTAAGATACCTACTTTTGGTACCTAAGTGCTTCCAACAAAGGAAACAAAGTGATAAAGTAATCTAAACTTAGGATACAAAAAGATAAAATGTCAATATTAATGGTGAGATGCGATGGAAGTGTTTAAAACCAGTTGTAACTTTAATGTAGTTTACACAACTCTTACGTAAGATACTATTACGCAAGGCAAGAAGTACGCATTCTAAAATGCATACTGGAAATAAAAAAATGGAAATAAAATGGAAATAAAAAAATTGTAAAAACATATTTCAAAATTAATTAAAGACAATTTAAAATTAAACTAATGCTTATAATAACTAATATTTATTTTAAGCCTGGTAATTGTTAATGATAAGAAAAACTATACATGAACTCCTGTTAATGAATTGTAAAGTACCATTTTTCTAGTGAATCTTTTAAAATATTGCCTTACTTATGGCATCGATCTTGCATTGCTTTGATTTCTTGCATGACTGGTAGTTCTTCCTGAGAGGGAGGTTTTATTTCCACATCCTGAAGCATGCTGACAGCGTGCTGTTTGAGCAGGCCCAAAGATGACAGCTGATGCTCCACCTCCAGAAGGAAACTGCTGTGGTAATCCAGGAGTTCCAGGAGCTCTGTCTTGGATGCCTTTTCCACTGAGCTTTCTGGTAAGCGGCCTTGGAGCTCATCTATTGCTATGGTGGCTTTCTGAATCTACGGAAAGAGATGCAGTCTTGGCAACAGTGAAATTAAAAGAAGCTAGTACAACTGATACCAAAAGGTGCTAAACCCAGTGCTGCACATTTAGATGCTACAAAACAGTTGTGGTATAGGGCTTGTGCAGCAGTCTCTATAGAAGGTCTAAATCTATGCTCTAACTAGAGCTAGGTAGCCCTAGCTCTTCACAGTGGACTAGAACTTGCTAAAGAACTTTTTTGTCAAGTGTTAAGTGGCTCCTCATATTTTTTTGGCACTTATTATCTTTATTGCCATAGGGCCTAGAGCTCTACCCCAGAGCAGACCTATATTTGGCACATGTCATACATTTAACAAAAAGATGATGCCCATTCCCAGAGAACCTGCAATCTGACCATAAAGTAATGGACAATGACAGATAAAAAGAGCCAGGTATGATATAAGAAGAAAAAAAGACACATGATGGGTGAGCAATGACAGGCAATAGTATCACTGCATAAACTTAGAAGTAGTAACTTCATACCCTTCAGGGAAAAAAAAAGAAAAAAAAAAGAAAAAAAAGAAAAAAAAGAAAAGAAGTTGACAATCTAGAATAGACCATCTGGGGAAGGGAAACATAGAGGATAAAATTCTGAAGAACCACCAGAAACCAAAACAGCTCCATATTTAATGAACATGTATGCGTATAGAAAAACAGTGCAAACTTTGGAGGCAGTGGTTCTAAACCTAGGTCTTCCATAGCTTTTTTTTGGTTTTTTCCTAATGACCTGAGAAAAACCACTGTTATTCTTGCTATCAGCTTTCTCTACCATAAGATAATTAATAAGGCAGTATAATGAGTGAAAACCTATGTACACTTAACAAAGGAGGATTTGCCAAGACCAGAAGTTACCTTATCATTAAAGTCCTTCCATTCTTGTACTGCATCTTCCAAAATTTTCTGTTGTTCTTGGGCTACATTCCGGAGCCGTGTCCAGCGCTGCCAAACTGTTGTCATGGATCTACTTATAGTTGCCTTACTGGCATCATTGCTAACTTTTTCCAGCTGTGAAGCCTTTTCTTCTAGGGCTGTGATCTTCTCATGGAAAGTATTCACTACAGACACAAGAGTCTGAAAAAGCAAAAACGAGCACTGTTTTCCTCTTTACAACTCATAACTACTCAACACAGTTGCAGGCAGATGAGCCACTTCCATCTACTGCAGACAAAGAGGAGGTACTCTAAGCTGCGTGAGGTGCTTTGGTCTCACTTTATTTTTCATATGCAATATATTAGCTACAGCTACTTAAAGGATCTGGTCCAAAATGCAACAAACTGGAAGCAGCAGCAATGTGGTGTAATCAGATTTTCTCTTCCTTACTAGGCCCTCAAAAAGGATGGAAATGAATATTCAGGACCCTTCTTATAGCAAACACTGACTTCTATTAAAGCCTAAAAATGAAAGCAGCAAATCAGGTGTTTAAGCATACATTTATGTCGTGTTTATCTCTAATGCCATTTTAGATGTCTCAGGCTATCAGGACATTCTCATGAAGCTGGCAGACATGACATTTACTCTTAGGGGAGACTCCTGCCTTCACAGAGACGCAGCTGGAGACCAGGCAGGATGTCTGCAGTGTCACTAGCTGTCTATATTAAGGCAACTAATTGGCACCCTAAATACTGGAAGAGAAAGTAATTCTTTTAAGTTACATTATTTTAGACTAAACAAGAGTTAATATTAGCCCCCACCCTTTCTGTCAAAGTAAAACTATTTCATGTGATCCAAAGCAGATGGACGTTTCTGTTGATCTGACTTTCTCGTAGGATGCATAATTTTGGGATTTACGCACCCAAGGCTTTTAGGAACTTCCTGGTTCCTTCCAGTTCTCTACAGTCATAGGCACACAGAGAGACATTAAGCTGAAAAGTGACTAAAAATATCTGTTCCAGTCATCCCACAAATAAAACATGTGTTCTGCACAATAAAAACCACCTCTTGGTGTGCTATGACAAAGTTAAGCGCTACAGGAAAAGATCCAAAAGCTCAAATTCAGGTTGCCACAGGTAGGGACCTATATAACATATATTTATTTTCACTAAAGGAAAAGGATTTCATATAATTTTCAGTACCTTACCTTATGTGTTAGCAATTTCTCTTCTGCTTCATGAGAAGAAGCAGCTTTAGCTACTGAGAATTCAGATAATTTTTTCTCAGCCTCGTTCATCACTTCAATAACCTTCTGTCTTGCTGTCTGGTACTCCTGCCACTCAGAAGCACACCTTAAAAAATATAATTCCAGAAAGAACAATTTAATGCTATATAAAATCATCTGGAAATTAGGAATATTGTTGCATCTAGTTTTCAATGTAGCTGCTTAGTTTTGCTAAGTATTTTCCAAGAAAAAGAAAGATTATTGGGAAAGAGCATACATAGAAGCACATGCTCCTGATTTTCAGCTGTGCCTTACAGACACAGCTTGACATTTAACAGCCCTTGATTGACTTTTCCACAGTCACTTTGTCTAGGTTGTGTTTTAAACCCACCCAAACTTTTAAAATCCAGGAGTAATAAGTAACATAGTTATGCTGGTTAAAAAGATATTTCCTTTTAGTTTGAAATGTCTGCTTTAATTTCATTTGTTTCTATGTAGGTCTTGTGCCAGATGAAATAAGGACAGTGATTCCCTAGTCATCGTCTTGGTGCTGTTCCATGCTTTATACAACTTCATCATAACTTCCTCAGCATCACGCGTCTAGTCAGTCAGTGGCAGAGGAGTAAACAGAATCCAAGAGCTCTGAACCCCAAGATCCACTTCTCTCATCAGCAGAACAAACGTTTTACAAAACTTGAATTAATGTTGTGATGTCTTTCTTTCATCATCACCAAGGTGATCTTAAAATGAAAGAAAAAAAAAAAAAGATGAATATACCTTTGCAACTGCTCTTGCTGGGTTTTGGCTTCTTGCTTTGTCCCTTTTGCCTTTTCCTCCAATGCAGCTACGTTCTGCATCAGCTGCTCTCTCGCTGTGGCTTGGATAAAGGGCTCTATCTCAGACACAAGGCCCTGTAATTCCTTCAAATGATTACTGAACTGACTTTCTGTGCTGAAAAATTCAATGTGGTTCCTTAGGTTCTCCTCAGAATTCTCAACATCAAGACCATTTCTTGCTAAATGTAGAAATTCCTGAGCATCTTCAAGCCAGTCATTTGCTAACTGCGTCACTTGGTAGTATCTTTGGCAGAGGCTATGTAATTTATTCAAGGTAGCCTGAAATAAAAGGAAAAATTATACAGAGGGTCACAGACATAAAATTCACAGTAAGAACAGGAATATCATCTGCCAAGAGTGGATGTTGCCCATCCTTGCTTTCTTTTCTCTTTACTGTATCTAAAATACAGGTCTGGAGAGACTACATTGAAGTCGGTTTTCAGTGAGTTTGCACTTCTACATGCAGGTATCAATGCATATTAAGGAAGTCTTCCCCCATGCCTCCCCTGCCCCAAGTCATCCACAGCAACAGGCCACAACCTAAGGCATTCAAAAAACCAAACAACAGGATTATTAAAATCAATCTTTACATGATCATTACAAACATCAAGCCACAGAGCCATCTTTTTCAACTTTGTGAGCGAGAAACTAATGACACTTAGGGTGTGCTAACCTGTCTCACTTGTATAGCTTCTTGAACTTCACCATCTAGTTCTGTAAGCTCAGCAAGAGTGTTCTCCAGGTCAGCGGGTATCAGCTCCTTTGCTTTCATATATTTCTCTTTTTCTTTATTGCTTAGTGCATTCATTATTCTCAGGCTTGATTGCACTTCTTCCTGATGTATCTGAACCTTTCGGATTTCTTCTTGGATGCTTTGCAGTTTGAGGTCCAAACTTAATGTTCCATTAAGTTCTGTTTTCACCCACCTCAGCCAGTCGACTGAGCGGCAGATTTCTGTCTGGAAGTCTATGCTTTGCACCAGTCTGTTCTCACACTCCATCACGGTGTCACCGATGGCAGCATGCAAAGACTTTAGTTTCTCTTGCCAAGACTGCACTTGGTGATTGGTTGTCTCACATGCAGATGAGTCAAGCTGAGGAGAAAGGGCTTCTAGATGTTCAGTTATTCTCTTCAGAAGACTCCCTGAGTCTTGCAAGCTGCCCACTAGAGAATGGTATATTTTCAACTTTTCTTCTATTGGGAGTGTTTCTTCATTTACCTTAATCTGCTCCGTCTTCACTGCCTCTAGTTGTGCCTCAAACTGCATACACATTTTCTCATGCTCCTGGCATGCTTCTATTGTGTCTTCCAATAGGTTGATTTTCTGCTCTATCTGCCTCTTCAACTTCTGATATAGCGTGACTAGTTTTAACATCTCATCTGGTTGCCATGGCTGGCCGGTGCTTCGAAAGGCCTCCTTCTTCTGGTTTAGTTCATCCACTGCTGCACCGAGGTTCACCACCTCACCTAAGAGATCTTTGTAGGTCTGCTGGAGTGACATAGCTTCTTTGGCTAAAACAGCAGCTGGAGCTTTGTCCATGTTAATAAACTGATCTTCTAGCTCATTCAGAGCTTTACTTGTCAACTCAATCAAAGAGGCGTACTCTTTTCTGGCATAAATTGCTTCCTGAACCTTATATAATTTTTCTTTTGCCAGAGCAGTGACAATATTGAATTGCTGAGGAAGAATGTTAAGTTTTTCATCCAGATAAGAATGATCCACTTCATTAAGTGATGGTAGGATTTCTTGGCCATCTCTTTGCAGTGCAAGTAACAGATTTTCATATTCTGGAGACTGCTCAAGAATCTGTTGATATTTTGCTAACTGGCTGTATAGTTCAGAGTTCGAATTCATTACATTGACCTCTGGGAATGTGATGATATCACCTTGTTTTAGCCAATGGCAAGCTTTATCTAAGTCTTCTTTGAAATATTTCCTGGAAACTATATTTTTTTCCAGTTCTAACAATCTCTGGTTACACTTTTGTAAAACAGTGTCATACACATTCTGTAGTTCTTGCAGTTTACCCAACACTTCACTCTTTTCTTGTTCTGTTGCTTCTTTCATTAAATCCCTTCCTTGAGCCCACAACCCTGTGACTTCATTTTGATAGGCCTTCAGGTTAGCCTGGGCATTCTTACAAGCCCTGATCTGTTTGTTCACATCTTCAGGCAACAGACAAATGTGTTCTGGAAATGTTACTTTCTTCTCGTGCTGGTGAATTTGGTTTGTAGCCTGAAAGACTGCCATGAGAAACTGTGTCTTTTCAGACAGTGCTTTATTCAGGTGCTTTCTCCTCTGGCCAATCAGATCACTGAGGCAATCTACATGGTACTGTGCATCAGAAAGTGCTTTCTGCAGCTCCTGCCTTTCATTGAGCCCTAGGTTGGTCATCACCCTGTCAGCATCCTTCACAAGCGTCTTCAGAAGAAGCTGTTTGGCTTCAAGCTCACTGCAAATGGTAAGATGATCAATGAGAAGACTCTGAGCCAGATCGGGAGGAGGGCTCTGTTTAAGAGCCTCTGACATACTAGGCTGCTGCTCCTCTGCCCATTCCATTAGTTCCTGAAATTTGGAATGCACCAAACTGAGCTCTTCTAAGGTTGAAACAGAAACCTGAATTTTCCTTTTGACAAGGTCCTCCAGCTGAGTCCAACGTTGCTCAAAATGACCAAATTGCTCCTTTACTAATTCTTTGTCATCAAGATTCAGATGTTCTATCATCTTCTGCTTCTGATCTTTCAAATCTTGCAGAGCAAATCGCCTTTCCTGTAGTGCCAGTGCCAATTTTTGCAAAGCTTCAAGGTGCACGTTTGTACTTTCAGCATCAGATCTGTTATCAAAATGGACACGACAGAAATGAATTATTAGATCCTATCTCAGGACAGACTTTTAAAAGAGGCCAGGATGAATTATAAGCCCACTACATACTGAACTTAATATGATATAAATATCTACAGTTTTCAGATTCTTTTGAAGGTACAAGTCTTGAATATTAATTAAAAAGTTCAACATTTTTATTCCTCTCCCTTTCATCTGCAATATGGGCATCAGGCTGACCATACAAATTAAGATGAATACTACAGAACATACTGGTTATATTGCTCATTTGAAAAACAAGTACTGGGGTAGAAGTGAATCTTATTTCATGACAGTGATAGCAGCAGTAATAGACTCTCACATTTTTACACATAGCTGGTGTGGCTTTGCTATACAAAGCAGCTGCAATCATTTAGCAGCAGCAACTAAGCTTTAATATAATAATCTAATATATAAAACACAGTATCACAATGAAAAACACACACAAATAAAAAATTCAAACAAAATAGTAAAAATTCTTGAAATATCAGAAAATGCTATACCCTGAGATGGGATCAATCAGTACCTGCCTTAAAGACAAACACTGAAGATCTGGCTTCTCAAACTCTCTTTATTTCAATACAAGTAATTGTCCTATAATTAACAAGGGAGGCTTGCTTCTAATTAAGCATGGAAAAAAGGGATTTTTAGTGGATCCAACTTAGAGACACTCCATAAACAGGTCTTACAGCATATATGTACTAAGTCAGCTTTGTGTGTGCTACTCCTTTTTTACCTAGCCAGGTTGTCCCACTCTTTTGTGAGCTTTTCCAAGAAAACTTCAACTACATTCATGCGATCATGGTAATCCCTCGTCCTCTGCAGATCCTCCTCCCTCTGTATGAGCAAACTGTGTGCCTGAAGGCAGAGGTCCAGCCACTGGTTGCTCAGTTCTCCTATTTCCTTGTGTTCAGGTGATTCCTGCCCTTGGGTTAGTTTGTTCATCTTCTCAGTCACAGAGCTAAGAGCTGACTGCTTAGACTGCAGCTTCTGACTGAATTCCTGAAAAAGATGCAAGTCAAAATCAGTATGGAGACACCTACTCAAAATGATAAGATGGAATTTAAATACAACGTCTGAAATAAATAAATAAGTAAATTGTGTAAGGACTAATTATCTACCCAGGCAAATGCTGTGCAGATGCAAATTGGAAGAACTGCCTTCTCCCCTCTCCTAACCTTCTTCCCTATCTACTCAGGTGAGGACAGGTTGGTTATAGATGTGAAAACAAACCAGAGCAGTTTCCAAGTGCCAGTGATAAACAGAAATCATGATCAAGTCACACCTCATTGTCCAGGCTTCTGAACCAGCACGGCTCCCACCATACACTAAAATGTTCAAGTTACTCTGGATCTCATGAGAATTCATTTTACCAGTCCTATTTCTAGCTCTTTTTTTTTTTTTTTTCCTTTTTCATTAGAAACTAAAAATAGGAAACAGAATCCATGAGTCAGTGAGCACCCATATCCATACTTCGTTTTGTTCCTACTTCTATAATAGAGACCATTATCGCTGTCATTATTGAAACAAAGCCAATGATTATCTAGGTATGATCGCTATTTGAGTTAATAAATTCCAGTAAATAAGAGTCCATCTGCATACACATTTCTTACTGAATAAGAAGTCACAGAGAACCCAATAAAAGAATATGCAACATACTGACAATTAAAACTAACCAAATATTTTTCAGCGCTTACACACTGTCTAGGGTAAACAGAATCTTCTCCCAAATTCTAGTTCCAATAACAATGACTAAACAACCATGACCAGCTCCAGTACTTTGCTGGGATGACGTGTTTTCACTGAGGGCTGGTGGGGGTTCTGCAGAAGAGATGCTACTGCCCAGCTCTGCCTCATTCCTCTTTGTGACTGCTTCAAATGGAGGTAGGCATCTTCCTTTACCAGGGCAAATTCAAAGAAAAAATACACATTGTGCCACATCTGACAGTGGCACGCACCTGCTGTATTCACAATAATCCCAAGATCCTGACTGAAACAGTGAAGAAATACAGACTCCTGCTTCTTCCTGGACTCTAATCATAGCTAGTGCAACAGCTTTCAGTCCACATTGCGCTAAGATACCTTCAAGGGCTATGACTTTGTTCAAACCCTTGTGTAGAACACACATGAAGAGAAAGTGTTGTCTAATTTTCACCCAACTCCTGGCATATCAGAAAAAAGAATACAAGCAACATCTAGACCAAAACCACAAAACCCAAGCATTTCATCATTTAATAAAGAAATAGTCTGTTTTCCTGTTTCTTCTTATTACTTTACTGATGTTTGTGATGTGTGCAGAATGGCCATAAACATTCTCTCTTCTCTAGTGAATAAGGATGAGTGGAGATCTGAAGGCATGTGTCTCATTATTTAGGGTAAATTAAATTTGGTTTCTCTCATATTTATTCTCCAGTAGCTTTCAGAGTCCAGCAACACCGAATAGTTTCCTAGACTATTCTGAAATAACTCTCTATATTTGAGAAGTATTGAAATCAAAGTACTTAGCAAGTACAAGTTGCAGATCTTATCTTCAGGTCCACTGTGTTCAGCAATTAGCCTACTAAAAGTGAAGGTAAATCAGAACGGTAGGCTGAAAAATGTCTACTGTTAAAAAAAACAAAGAAAAATATTAAAATACAGTGTTTTGTTTTCTGTGTCCCTCTGTAGCATCAACAAGGAAATACTCTTTCCTCTGTCTTCTCTGCTTTTGCTTAGAACATATTAGCATTTGCATGCGATATGTGCATATAACATGAATTATAATATCAGCCACAGGATGAACTTCTTCCTTCTGTTCTTAACCCAAAGTCTCCTTACCTTAACCTGGAATACCATATTCTGGGCAATGTTTAGCTCCAACTCTGCCCGTCTCCTTTTCAAATTCTGTAGTTGTTGATCTGCATCCTGGAAATATATCCAGAGCTCAGCTTTCATTTGTTTGATCTCTTCCCAACCTTGAGCCAAATACTGTGAGTGCATTATCTGTTGCTCAATCTAGAAGAAAAGAAATGGAGTAGGAATGCTTTAATGCATCTATTTTTGGAGAATGGAGGATGACTACCATTCTTCCTCTGAGCACAATACTGTACTAAAGCAAATCTCTGCACCTGATTCTGAAGGGGTGACAGACTAATATTACCCACAAAAAGAGTCTTAACCTTCAAAAGTGATAAAAAACAGACCAAAGGAAAGCTGTGGAAAAAAAAAAAGAATTATCATTCACCCTTGAGAGAAGCAAGTATATTTATGAGTGTGTATATTTCAAAGTGTTCTGTCTTCTGTTAAAGCTTAAATTACCTGTATAATTTAGTCTCTTGCACGCCAAGAATATTGCTGGACTGTACCCTACATGCCTTCACAATGACCAAATAAAAGCTTAAACTGAACACTTCCATTTAATTTGCTTAGCCCAGTTATTTTCCCTATATGCCTTTTGTAAAATGCCAATAAGAAGCATGCTTACCGGATCTGAGCCCATCAATCACCTTAAACCAATAGTCACACAGCTTCTTTTGCTCCAAATACAGTACGGAGCCTTTAAGGTTTAGACACTCAACCAGCTTAATATATCTCAGTGCTGTACCATCTGTGATTCCTTAAAAATGTTTCACTGCTTTATATATAAAAGGACAATCTTATTCTGACGTTTGGCATGCTTTTTAGTTATTCAATATTTGGACTGCCTTTTTTTTTTTGCTTCTCTGGTATGGAATACTGTTACTGTATATAATTAGATTTTTACTCTTGGTAGAAGTAGTTTCAAAAGTTTGGTTGTGTGTATGTGAAACTAAATTTTTCATGTTTACAACAACAGAAATGGTCATAATATTTCTTTTCTAACAACTTATGCTTATAATTTTATTCTAAAACCAAGCATTAAGCTACTTTAAAACTTAAAAATTAGGTATGCTTCTATAAATTCATAGGCTGAAATAATGCACTCTGATTTTTATAAGATATATCATTTTTTATTATGATCATAATTAATATATTAGTATACCTTAATAAGAACATCAGTCTACTGTTGAATAAATAACAACAGTAAAATATGTCTAAGCTTTAATAAAATACAGAGAGGAACAGATTGAATTGTGTTTTATAAAACCAAATAATTTGGATCAGGTTTTCTTCCACAGAATATTTGTGTGGCTTTAGACCAACATCTTGTAACATTGCCTAAGTACCTTTAGCAACCTTTGCTGTGTGTCTTTGTGTTACTACCAGGATGGCAATGTGGAATTAATTAAAAAAAAAAAAAAAAGAAAAAGAAAAAGAAAAGAGAAAACTATTTCTAAAAGAAATACTTAGATGAAAGTAAGACGACATTTCTTTAAACCATTACCCAATATGACCTTTTTAAAAGAGGACAGATCAAGGCAGTTAAAGCTCTAAATAGGATTAAAAGTGGGTTGTTGTGATTATCTTGTACCGTTTGTTTTGTTTGTTGAATATCTGTTGCTGTACTCTTCACTGTGGCATCTGACAGATCACACATGGAGCACAGAAGATCCAAGTATGTATTGGCCTGCTCCTGCAGAGCCCGGAAATGTTTCACCTGCGGAAAGACAACCCTCAAATAAACTCTGAAACCATGGAAATTATCTCTTATTTTATTACAATCATGCATTTTAGTATTTTTAATTTAGCTTATTATTTCCAAAAGATGAAATGTAGACATACACTATCTTATTAGGTAAGTCTGCTCTGTCATAATTATAGAAAAGAGTAACAAAAATTTGGTTATCATCCAATGGTCAAAGTGCTTAGTGACATTATCTAGTTTATTTCTTTATAAATAAAGTGTTGGATAGATACACACAGTTTCAACAAGGTGACTTACTTTCCCAAGGTGAGTGGGAAGCAGGGCTTTATCCAATTATTAAAGTGTCATGTTCCTATACCTATAAAATTCTCCAGTGTCTAATAGATCATGAATAATCCAGCCCAGTGGCCCAACATGCTTTCCCACACCTTCTGAAACCTTTCCAATGTCCCCAATATCTACGACTGCCAAGATCAGACAACATGATGCTGTTGAGGGTTCTTGCTCTCGACATTGCCCATAGGAGCTCACCTCTCCCTATGAAGAGCTTCCTCATCCCAAAAGAAAATGATGATATGAGTGTTGACAAGCAGAGCAATAACATACCTCCTAGAGTTCCAGGGAGGAGGGATGAGCGACCACCAAACACAGAGGGCCAGTGGTGGGTCCTTGAGGGCAAAAAGTTGAACACAACAGCAGTGTGTTCTTGTGGCAACCTCAAATTACTGTATGAGCAAGAATGCAGGGAGCAAGGTGTGGGAAACAATTATTCTCCTATGCATATGTTTCTCAGGCTGTTCCTGGTCTACTTGGCCCAGTTTTCCTCTTCCTCTATAGAAGAGGTATTGGCAAACTAGTCCAAGTCCAACAAAGGGCTGAGGGGATATGGGGCTGCAGTATGTCGCATTTTTGGGTGGGTCTGGAGGAACTGGGTTTGTTCAGCCTGGAGGAGAGAGGCTAATTGTGGTCTGCCATTACTTAAAGTGATAGGGGTCAGGTGGGGGCAGTACTGAGAAGACAGAGTCAAACTCTGCTGAGGTAAGCAGAAAAAGGACCAGATGGAAAAGTGACAACTTGCAACATGGAAATTCTTCCTAGATGCAAGAGAAATTATTTTTCACACCGAGAACAGTTACACAGTGGAAGAGGTCCCTAATCCTCAGGAATGGTCAGGGCCCTCAGTGCACCAAAGGGCTCTGCAACCTCTATCCCCCTCTCCTTGGGGTTTGGCTGCCTCTGCTCATGGCCAGCCCGGACTCAGCTCAGACATGACCTGGCCAATGGAAAAGTGTTCAGAAGTCTTTCCCCTTGCTCGAGAGCTGCATGCAAGCTCAGACTCTCACCCACCTATGGACCTCACCTGAGCTACACTGTAGGTGCGCCTGTGCCTGGCTGATCCTCCTCTCCATGCCTTGCTGCCCTGACCTACTGCCTCCACTTGGGACTGGCCTCATCCCTACAGACTTGCCTGGTGATTGCCAGATGGTGGCTGACAACAGAGGTGCTCTGCTCTCCTCACCTGTGTTCTGTGGTTCTGCACGTCATTGAGAAGGTGCTGCCCTGCCAGCCCCATTGTCATCCCCTCCTACTCCCCAGCTCCACCGTCAGCCCAGCTCCCCCCATCCTTGCAGAGCTGCCATTTGAAGTACTCCATGGTCTCCAGTAAGACGCACGGTGGATGAGACAGCCCTGAATTCCAGCATTTTTAGCACCAGTTTAATTTGAAAGCAAGGTACAAATCCAATGTAAAATACATTAAGTTACTGAGAATGATCAAGAAACCACTCTTAATGGCTAATGTGGGCTAGAGGCAGTTCTGTGCTCTTAGGCTGAAGAATTAATTGCCTGATAACAGACTCTGTGTCACTGGTACTATGAAATCAGATCTCAAATAGGAACATTAGTAGACAGATGGGCAACTGAACAAGCAGGAAGACACAACCTCTCTGCTAAACACATCTGTGGAGTACCTGAACAGGTTTATCTAATTAGCCAACTTTTTTCAGGTGACATATTTCTAAGCATTAAGCAGAAGTAGCAAAAGCCCTGTGAGATTTTTCACCTGTGGTTATTTTGCACTCAAGGTATTCCTTTTGGAGATGGGAATAAACAATGAGGAAGCACAGCCCTCTGAGAAGGTCAGAGAGAGTATCTGATTTCTATTAATATGAAGCTCTTAACCTGAACTCACCTTATTAAGGATAACTGAGCATTTTCAAGTGCTGAACTTTTACCTGTTTAACTGCGTCTGCAAGGCTGAAAGGTGGCCAGGTAGTTGGCTTTAGGTCTGACTGCACTGTAGACAGCCAAGTCTGGCACTGTTGTAGGGTATCCTGATGATTAACATGCTTCTGGAGTTCATGTTCCAAACTCTGGTACACCTAAAATAAACATTTTAGGTTTATTTTTATTTTAGGTCATCGCATTTTCAAACACCGATATTGGCCCTCTTCTCCCACCTTGAAAACTGCAGATAAAACAGATTTACATTGTGGCTATTCTAGCCCTTGTACGTAAAAGTACCAAGGGATGAAAGCTCCTTAAGCTCTCACCGCATCTTGCTGATTTGTGGACAAGATGGACAATATTTAAGTCACAGCTTCCGGAAAGAAAAGATAAAGATGCAAATGAAGAGTATTTTCTCTTATTTCTGTATCCTTGTTCAACACTTTGCCATGGATCTCATATGAGATTTTACCTACCTCTACAAATCTTACTGATTATGAAGTCTACTTTTTGGAAGTTTGGGGTTTTTTATTTTTTTGTTTTGTTTGGGTTGTTTTTGGGGGGTTTTCTTAGACTATGCTGGCTTGATCTCCTAATTGGATTAACAGAATGACCCAGCTAGCCCTTCTTAACTGTATATTCTGGTTTTACTAAGAGAGGCAGTATTTCCTAGCATATAATCAAGACCCATTATGTACACATGCAAACTACTGACACTAAGAGTATAATTTGCTCTCTAGTTTTTGAAGTAGAAATAGTTCTAATTTCTTTGCGGCAGCTGCTCAGAAGCTAGTGTAACATGAACATAGTGAGGGTGTGGAGACTTAAGGTGAGATCTGACAGGCAGCTAGTTTTGCTAGCTGCAAGGCAACATTGGGATCACAAGGAATTCAGCACAGTAATGATGAAGTATTACATTAACCCATAGGCTCAATTTAAATGGAAATAGTAGAAAGAGTTTATACCATTTAAAGAAACAAGTATTTAAATACAAGTACAGAAATAATGTGTGTTATTCTTAAATGGCATAAAAACATTTTTGAAACAAGACTTACTCTTTGGGCTGTGCTACATATGGCAGAATAGCTGTCCTTTGTCCCCTGAAGATGGCTTTGTATGTTTTGCTTAAATTTTGCTTGAAGGTGTTCTGTGCATTGATTGATCAAGTAATCGCCTTTACTCTTAAGGCTGTTCAAACGATCTTCAAACCCTGCAATTTCTTCCATGATAGCCTAAGAAATAGATATAATGCTTTTAAAGAAATATTTTAAACTTAAAACATGTTCTGCATACCAGCTTTTAAAATGAACTTTTTTTTTTTTCCTTAAACACTCTTTATCTTCAGATTTGGAAAAAAGTTTTTAGACAATGTGTATTGTTATAGTCAAGCTACTAGAGCACATACTCTGTAAAATCATTGTCAAAAGTCTGTACATAGATACCCCTCAGAAACATCAGTAGCAGTGTAAACATTATATGCTTATGCCTCAAGACTACCCTTAATCTTCCTTTGTTGCAAGCTCTCTGGGGCTCAACGAACTTCTCTTGTGTCCAGTAATGAGGACTAAATCTGATGCTGAATCATCTCTTATTCCATAAGCTCTTCCACTGTAGACAGTGCTTTCCATTGACTTCGGTGGAGCCAAATTTTTATCTATGGAGTTTACTTAAAGAATAACACACTAATCACAATTAGTTAAAAGATTTCAGTATTCATCCTCTCAATCTCGGTTTCAGGGAGTGGTAGGGAGGGTTGGATTTTGCTTTATCTTCTAGAAAGCATCGGCTATTGATGTAGTGAATATTATTAATAGCAACTATAACAATACCTTGAATAAAAGCAATGGAGGAAATGTTACAACATAATAGCAGAAAAAAAGAAAATTTAAAATATTTTTTCATCCTTAAAAGTGCCAGAGCAAAAAATGCCTTAGGAGTAAAATGACCCTAATCTGCTTTTGTGATCTATTTCCTGGGACATCTCAGCAAAAATCTGACACATAATTCAGACCAGCGTACAACAAAGCTCTTGTGCAGATGCAGTCTCATCCAAGAAACAAGAAGCTAGATCTGTTAACTGCATTAATGACACTGATGCTTATTTACACAGTTAGCAGTAAGAGGAACAGAACAGGTGAATGACAAATAACTAGAGTTCTGGAGTAGAGACAAGAAGCAAAGAGGAAAAATTGCATTTTACCAGACAAAGAAAGTTTACCCAATAGCAAACCCACCTTGTGGTTAGCTAGTTGCTGAGTGATTATTTCAAGATTGTTACTCTCCAGGAGGTCAGGGCTGACCAGCCTGCTGGACATATGTAATAACCATTTCTCTCCTTCTTGCAAATCACTATTGTAATCCTCATGTTCTTTTACTCTCACCTCCAAGGTGTCAACATATGCCTGTAGGTCCACAATAACCAAAATTAAATATTCAGGTAATTACAAGAATGAAAGAAATCCCAAACAAACCAAAAACCACCAAGAACTTGAAAGCTCTAAATTTATATTCCTGTGAAGGGCTCTCACATGATCAGACTGTTAAGAAAGACATCAAAGGGATTACTAGTGTGAGTAAACTCTGTGGTACTGAGCAGTATTTTCACTCCAGATGAAATACCTTAAAGACTGAGGATCTCTGTACTTTAAGAAAAGGAACTGTCAACTAGACATTAAGTTCACTTAGAAACAGCTATTACATGCTCTACAAGACACTGCATATGACCTACCAAATGTTATGGTTGGGTCCCTGCTGCTTACAGCCTTTGCATGTACATGTTGCCTGTGATTGTGTAGGCAAATTAAGAATGTACACAGTGAGTTAAAATGTATGTATTCTTTTTAAGAAAGACTTTTCATAAGCTTCTCTACATTTAAGTCATCATTACATCTAATGCAACAGACATCAGCTTTGTGGTATAGATCAGAGATAGATCTGTAAAATAAAAATCAACTGTGAAAATAAAATCATCTGCCATTGGTGGATGGACTGGCAATTAAAGGTACTTAGGTCAAACATAAGTACTAACATGGTTTGCAGAGCTTATCCTTGTTAGGAGTGTAACCTATTAAAAGCTTTAGGAATAATCATACTTTAGGACGTATTTAGAAGTATTAGATCTTTCAAAGTACTACATACATGTGGACTAATGAGTCAATGTTAATTAACAATGCCCTTGCTGAATTAAATTATATACATCTTGTAGTTCATTTTCTCTTCCATTCAATAACTAGATTAAACAGGATTTGTGCAAGATCTAGCAGAAACAAGAGACAAAACAGTATAATTTAAGGGCATCTGTCCCTTCAAGAAATAATGTATTTAGAATCTCTTCAAAGCAATTAAAAATAGTAACAATTGTACAAACTAGTCACAGATATATTTCCCCTTAGCGCTATGAAGACTTCACCTGCCATACTCAAAATTCATTTCAGCTACTATTGTTAGATTTATTTAGGTAGTCTCTTTCCATATTCAAGAATTACTGCCTGCCCCCCTCCACCACCCGCAAAGAAAAAGAAAAATTAATTAAAATCTAACTGTCTCTGTGTACAGGGTGCGACATGACAGCATGAAACAAATGCTGTCAACTTCATAAAGAGGGAAAAAAATACAGCAAATTGAAAGAACTTAGAGTTTTTCTTCTTGACTTTTTACCTTTGTTGTGCTGCAGAGTTCCTGGTAACTGCTCTGAAGGTCTTGAATGTTGTTCTTTAGAGTCACATCATTTACCAGATCAAAAAGTGCTTCTCCCTTTTCAATCACTGATTTTATTGAAGGCTCATGGGACAGAACAGTCTGCTGTATGGACTAGAATGCAAGCAAGAATTTTTATATATATACACACACACACACACACTGAGCAGTGAACATCTATTTCACTAACTTCCTTTGATCTGAAGCACAGCCTTCTATCATGGTATATATCACCCTTTCCAGATGAGCAGAGATTTGGTACCAGCACAGGACTATGTTTCTCAGTCATGCCCTGAGAAAACAACTTTGCAAGCATCTAAAAGCAATTGCTCCTTTTGTGAGTGGCTAGTAGCACAGCTGATAATCTGCAACATGGCTGATAATCTGGAGCTGGTGAAGGAAAGGGAGTTAATATGCATGAAGGGGCAAGTGCTAGGGAGAAAACTTGCTCAGAAGAACAAATTCCGCAAATAGCAGGAAAGTACCACCAAAGTCATCCCCTTAATGAGACACTATGCAGACAAGTGCATAACACTGTACTCTCAAGAGGATGCAATCTGATCTGTTATCATGCCACTGGCTCAGAGAGCATGGCACATGCCAGAATCTATCAAATGTCAGTGAGACACCAGCTCCTCAAACGGGTGGAAAGCAAGCACACAGCTATGACATATGACTTGGAGTATTGAGGTCGGTGAGGGGTAGTGGGCAGTTTCAGAGAGAAAACCTTGATGCTGTGCAGGTATTGCTCAGCAACAGCCAAAACACTGGTTGGTTAGCAACACTGTTTTAGCCACAAATTTAAAGCACAGCACTATACAGGCTGCTATGAGGAGAGTTACCTCCATCCCAGCCAGACCCAGCATATATCTTATGAAACATCTGTAATCCTGGAGTATTTTACAAAAACATCATTAAGAGAAGCAATGGGGTTTGCTGTCAATTTTTTCTACTCATTGTTATGATTAGGAAAAAACAAAGCAAAACAAAACAAAAAAAACCCCACCAACCCCCACACTTCATTAAAGTCTTAACTAAAAACTGAGGAGGCTATAACAGCTGTCTTAGATGTTAGTTGAGCTGGGACATAGAGCTTTAACCAGAAAGCTGCTTAAGCCAAGGTAAATATAGGCAATGTCTGCAGTGAAGAAAGACCAACCAATTTCTATCCTTGCTTAAACAGCAGCTAACTCTTGATGTCAATAAAATTACTTATATGCATACTCATAAAAGAATTTTGCTTCATAACAGGAAATTTTCAGATGTGGAAGCCTTATTAGTACATTCACATTTCAAATCCAGATGCTCACTCTGGTTTGTAGATGCAGGTATGGTGCCTGTTTTCACTTTGATGCCAATCTGGACATCCAGATCAGAGACATCTCATAATATCTATTGAGGAAACTTGAACAGACACCTGGATCAGAGGATTTATTGCAAGTCACTAGGTCAAAATCAATTTGATAGCACAATGATATAGCCCCTTTTTACCTTGTATTTGGACAACTGAGCCTTCTTCTCATAGAGTTCGCTCTTTGGCTCTGCTGGAGCATGTAACACAGCTTGGTACTCCATGACCCACTGAGTCTGTGCCTTGTACTTGTCTGAGAACTCCTTTGCCAGCTGAAGGCACTTCTCTGAAGTCATGTGCTCTTTCCTGATGGAGCCAGCCAGCTCTTCAAGCTGTTCCACATGATCTCCAATTTCTTTTCTCAACTGGTTAACTTCATTTTCTTTCATGTACTTTATAGCTCGCTCCCCCTTCTCACGGGCGGATTTCAGTAAACTGTGGCCTATGTCCATATCACTCAATAGCAGCTGTGAAGGAAGTGATGGTTAACAGAAAACGTATGCAAGCTCTTGCCTTTTTCTTCTTTTATCCATTGTAGTTCTATTACCAGTGAGAGACTAACCATTTATTTTTTTATTTTTTTATTTTTTAAATTTTGCTAAGGACACAGGAGGAATTACTAGGGAAATTGAATGGACTTTTCATTACAAAATCGCCTGGAGTTAAGGTGGAAGGAAGCAAAAAAAGCAAATGCTTCTGTTCTGCACTGGGCTTGCGAAGATAAACATAGAAACTGAGGGCTATCAGGAGAGGATTTGTACTCCAAATTCTGGAATAGATGAAAGTTTTCCCTTAGCGAATTATGTTTAGCTGCAGGACATATGAAAAACTAATTTACAACTCTGAAATGAAATGTGAGTTTTACTACTGAGTTATTACAATGAAGTGAAATAGGAAGCACTTCTTGCCACAGCGCATACTGGTATAAAATATACATGATAGGATTCCTTGTAAGGAGAATTTATTTTAAGTTTTAACCTAAACCAAAACACATAGAAATATGCCTTATGGAAAGATAGGATTATATTATTTAGGACTATTCACAACCTCAACAACCAAACTGATATCTAATATATATATGGTATAAGAACAGAAAGTTTTACACTGGGTGATCTTTATCCAATTAGCTTCTCTGCGTGAGGCGAAGTCAGAATTTTGAGCAGCTGTTAAGATGCATGTTAAAACATAGCCTCTTTTTGGTGACCAAAACCAAAAATTGCATTCAAGAAAGCTGTACCTCTAGTTTCTGCACTTTTTTCTCCATTGCTGTTTTATCAATCACATCAAACTTGGTGATCACATTTCTGAAGTTCTTGTTGGTAGCTCCATACCAATTTGTGTAAGCACTAAAAGCCAATTCCGACTCCTCCATACAGCGTATTTCTTCTTCCAGAAACTTTATTTGCTCCTTCAAACAAATGTGGAGGATAGGGGGAAGAAACAAGAACCACTGAGATGTTTATCATTGCTATTTGCTAAAGATAGCAATAAATTGCTATTTATTAATAAAACTTGATATACTAAGATTAAACACATAGGTTTTGAGCTCTTTCATATCTAGGGGCTAATTCTCACTGTAGTCTTGCCTGGGTGTACATATAGCAATCACTAACGTTAAAACTGAGTTAATACTAAACACTGAAAAGAATATATTTTGAAATTTGAATTATGACTTGTGATTATGATACTATGAGGCATTTAATACTTTAAGTGACTTCAAGGCTGTGCCTTATCAATTCAGATTTTCCCTATGTGTTTCAGTGATAACCTGAAAATATTTCTCTAGAGGTCATTTAGCATTCAAACATACTGAATTTTGAATTTCTCTCCTGCGACTTCCAAAAAAGACAGTAACAACATCTGATTAATACTGAATATTTTTCAAAGGGCATTTCCCCAAACATTGTTCTCCAATACATTTAGTTCATTGAAATCTACATGTATATGAGTGTGTATATATGAATATATATGTCAATATTATACTATTGAGTCTACAATAGTGAATAAACTCTGATAAAGTCTAATTAAGAATGTTTATATTTGCCTCTTAACTGAAAATTTATGATGTTACAATGAATTAATTTTAATTACTTACCAAGACATGAAGAAGAACAGTTTGGTAGCGAGACGTAAGCTGTGTAGCCTGGCTTCCCATTCTACTTGCAGTGAGACTTTCCTCGAGGATTTGCTGAGCCAATACCCCAACTTCTTCCACATCGTCTTTGTAGATTGTAATTTCTTCATGCCACTTCTATGACAAAGACATTATCCAGCTTATATGACTGATTCAAACATCTTAAACACAACAGGAATTTATTTGTAACTAAGCCACGAAATCATTGAAAAGGAAAACAAACACATAGTCGTTATCATGGATTTAAACAGGAAAATAAAACAGAATCTGATGAAGGTTAAAGTAATGAACATGCTGGAAGTTTTATCATACCATATGAACTGCATTTCATTACAGTAGGTTCAATACTTCCCTCCCCCAAATAATAATAGAAATGCAACCTGGTCTTCCTGTAGAATTTGCCTGAAGTTTTAAAGGTGACTGTAAAGCATAACCTGGAATCTCTTAAAATCTGCTTCCTGTGTTTACTCAGAACCACGTCTTCTCCTTGCAGTGACTCAAGGGGAATTATTACATCAACACAGTAGAGACTTCACAACAGTTGGTCACATTTTACTCTTGTTACCATATTAACACTTTCCCACATCAGGATTAATCTTTGTCCTAAGCCTTCACGTACCACAGAGCATATGAATTCCAGATCTCCCTATGAGATTTCAACACTGCTATAGCCATACTTCTACCAGTAAGATGGGAGGAACCTGGACCCAGAAGGCACAAAGCTCTCTTGGATCCATCATTCTAGGCACCATCTCAGAATAAATTGTTTCCTGCTGTCACAGTGCATCCAGGAACTGATGTAGAAACCTCACACGGTATTTTGTTTAAGGAATGCCTTAACTATATTCTTTACCTTCATTTGCTGAAGCTGCATCTCCTTTGTTGCTCTACCAGACTGCCTCCCAGTCCTGATGGCAACTTTCTCCTCCAGATCTGTTAGCCAGTCATTAACCTTCTGAAATTTTTTCTCCATTAACCTTAGCCTGCTCACAGTGGCATTTAATTGGCTTCTTGCTTCAGAAAGCCTGTGCTGATAAACTTGCCAATCCTGCCGTAAGGATTCCAGGGCTCGGTCTTCTATCTGGGGAATGCCCCAGGGAATCACCTTCTCTCTGGCATGGACAGCAGCATTCAATAATGCTTGTCCTTCTGCACAGTGGACCTGCAGCTCCTGTAAACGCAGAGTTATGGATACATACCATAGATTAACAGCTTTCATTCACACATGGCAAACAAAGTCCTGGTTCTCCTTAAGACAAAAGCAGTTACCTCACAATGTCTAGATATTCCCTTTAGTAAACTATAGTCGATCACGTATTACGCTATCTCTAAGAACACCTATGATGGCACACTTACTTACAAAGCAAACCGATTATCACTATTATTGACAAGTGAATTGGAGAAAATTATTGACAAAGCATCCATTAAATTCTTTCCCATCCTGCTAAGTTTATCATCACTTCTGAAACATTAGCTGCCTGAACTGGCATAGAATGGATGGAATCTATTCAGCAAGGCCTTAAACTCAAAACTTTCCAGCTGTTGCAAGCAGACTTGCAACTTGTATGACTGATTCTAAAATTGAATCTGCTTAAAAACAAGGAACAAGGTGAGGCTTCTCAAGGTTTGAGACGTCACTTCAAAATAATTCTTGATACCCTCTTCTGGACATGTGTGGCATTTTCATGTTTATTAGAACTTGATTAGAAAGTGTGAATCAATCAATCTGATTAGAAAACATAAATAGGAAATTACCTTAACAAAATACAGTGGTATGTCATCTTAGTTTATATTTGAGATATATATTCAGATTTTCAAAATGGATTCATATTTTGTAAAGTAAACTATAATAACAAGACACATATGCAGAATCCCTGATCATACAAAGACCTTCTCAGTATCCTGAATAAAGTGATAAATATTTCATAACTCAAGTACAGACCTTTTGCTAATTCAGTAACAGGTATGAAAGCATAAGTCAGCTTAAGATCATAACTGGGAAATTAAGTACTATAGGTTCACCCTTCACTTTCACTTAAGTGATTCAGTAACAGTCTTCCAACTTCACCACGGGAGCTAGCCTACATCACTGGAACTGCAGATGCATCTGCACTGTAAGCAATAAAAGATGAAAACCCAATGAAAAGAATACTTCTGATATTTTATGAAACACAAGGAAAAGAAGAGGTAGACCAGCATCTAAAACAAATTCAGTACTTCCAAAAAAGCATTAGCATGCCTGGAGATTTCATTCACTTTCTGGAAATGAGTGACAACATTTCCACTGACTTTACTGGAACCACTTTTGAGCAGCAAAGTACTTATACATAATGTGATTCCAAGCTGTTCCTGAGATAAAGAGAGAGATGCAATTTTTGTCTGGCAATGAGTATTATTCTGTTATTTTACAAGTAGGATTCTTTTTTTCTTTTTTTCGCTTAGGATGTCACACATTATGTACCTGTAAGTCTCGGAGTGTTGCCTCCTGTTTCTGGGCATCACCATCAAGATGTGATAAACAGTCAAGTTTTTCCTGTTCCTTCTCCAGCCATACTTCAAAGGCCTTCAGATTTCTTTGGTACTCTTGATGTAAGTTAAGCAGTCCTTCAGCTTTTGTTACCGCCTCCTGCTTGTTAAAATATTTACATATATATGTGTGTGTGTATATATATACACACACATATTAGTGTATCATCAAACCAAGAAAACATAAAACCCGGACTTCCATCAAGGGGAAAAGTTTGTATCTGATGCTGAACTTTCCTAGAATTCAAGAGTATTTGGATTCTGAGAATGGTTTCATCAATTACAGGGAAAGAGAGGGCAAATGTGGGGATACAGATACTTATCGTAAAGGATTCTTCATGTAGGTTTGTGATGTCTGGGATTTGAAGTTTTGATCTGGGATCACTTTTAAATAACACCTTAGTGTCTAATAACAAAAGACCTTCTTAATTTTTATACCAATTTAAATTAACTTTACTGAAGTGTAATAAGAGTATGAACTAATTAATAAGAAGAGTATGAACTAATTAATAAGAGTATGAACTTAGAAATTTCATGGTTTTTCTTCGCATGATTTTTTTTTTTTTTTTTTGGCCAATAGAATAATAATCTTCTATTAAGAGTATCTAATATCTTTAGGTTTGAAGACCACCCAAGTCCTTTGTGGGCAGTTCCTACAGAGCACTGTGAGAAACAGAATGCAAGTCTTCTGTGTATGTGGGTGAGCAAGTTACAATAATTTCACAACCCAGCACTAAAATATTACCATATCTGGGGTACAGCAGGAAAAGCGTCATATATTAGCCCAAGAGCAGTCTTTCTAAGCTCAAGAAAAGTATACTACATGTAATTCACATCCTCTAAGAAATAATGGGAACAGGGAATAGAGTTTGGATGGAGGCAAGACAGGCTGCATCCTGGGACAGCAGGCTCCATAAGAAGAAAAGCACTTTCATAAACAGCAGCCATGAACCTACGGTCTGCTTTACCGATTTCTAGCAGGTCTAGGGTGTGGGAGGAAGGATGAAAAGAGAAATGTTACTGATCTTTTACAAGGCCGGTCCATGCCCAGTAGTGGGAAGAGGGAAAGATAGACTAGTTCTCTTGCCTCTTGACAGTGGCTGCAGGGAATTACAGGTCTTGGTCAGCTCAGGCTTGGGCCAGAAACCCTTGGGGAAGCTTGTCAGGTTTCCCACCTGACCAAAGGATTATTAAAGGATTTGACCATTCCTTACTTTCCAGCTATTTGCTTTGAACTTTGAATTTCTTTTTACATTTTTGAATGTACTCTTGATACTTAACATCATCACCAAAGTTGGGAGTGGGGAAGATCAAAGTCATCAGGGGTGTTAAGGGGGAAGAGAAAGAGGGGATGCTTATTGCTACATGGAGAAAGAGGTACAGAGCTCTTGTCCCTGTCAACTACCATCCATTTCTCATTGTTCCCATGCTGTTGCTCAAGCCGAGCAAATACAGGCAGTCTGTATAGTTTTGTGCAAGAGAAAAAGGTAAAGGTTAGAGGATCCCCATGCTAACAGGAATACAAGGTATTCACTAGCACTTCCCAGTACTTAAGTCAACTCTCTGGCAAACCTGAGTGAGTTTATTCAGAGAAGGTCCAAAGAAAGACAGTGCATTGCATTCTTTGCAGTGGTGGAAGAGAGTACCACAAAACAGTGAATAATCTATGTGTTTGAAAAACTTAATTTTGGCCCTTTCCACAAGACAAAGACATCATTGAAACAACAAAATTCAATTTTACTACAGTGATATCATGAAGAAAAGTCACCGGAGCATACCTTAAGCATTATTTAATTACCACACAAGAATTTGGGTTAACTGGAGATAATCGCCTGCTTTAAATGTATCACCAGATCTTTTATTATTTGTTCTTTATCTTATGTCTTACATTAAAACCCATCTTGATATTTATCTGTCTATGTCCTAATCTTTTCCAGATCTACAATATTAACACTTATCAGTAAATATGGTACATATCATGCTGGGTCTTTTGACATTAGAGTCAGTTTACTTGCTAATAAGGTTTGTGTTCAATAGTAAGCTTCTGTGGTTGTCAGCCATTTGTGAATTACCTGATTGACTGGTTGCATTTACTGCAAAACAGACATTTATGCAAACCACAGATTTAGAGATGCTTCCAACTTTTCAGTCAAAATGGGTAAAATCGTATTTGCACTGAAGTCAATGAGACTTTTGACATGGAATTCCTCAGACTATTCACTTGATGATTTTTTCAGATTCAGATTTTTAGAACCTTTCTGAAAAGACCTGAAGCTCAGTGGTACAGGACGAGAGATTGATAAATCATGCTAATAACTTTGTTACATTAAGTTACAGCTGTCCCCAAACTTTTATTCCTCGTTTAACTGCAAAATAAACGATCTATGAAAAGACTTTCTCTTTTTCCTTGTTGCCAACAAAACAAGAGGGAGTGCTATCAAGAAAAACTGTACCCTTGTTCTCTCTTTGAGGAACTTATACCGCTCCTGAAGGTCCTGGAGTTCAAGCTGAGTGACATAATGCTCAGCCATCCCACTTCCTTTCACTTCAATCGTCTCCAACAGGCTGCTGTGACTCAAAACCTCTTCACTGAGTAGCTGCAAAACAGAAAGAGAAGAACACATTTATGAATGAGCTGCATTAAAACAAGACCACAGATTAACCTTATTCAGCCTTTTTTGTTGCTTATAAGGTGATATGGGCTTGTTGTTGGTTTTTGTAAAGCAAACACACCTTTGCTTTGCTGAGGGCAGCTGTTTTTTCCCTCAGTTCGGCATATTGCCTTTCAGAAGCATTCATACTCGCTTCTACTTTATCCATCCAGCTGGAAAACTGACGAACATCATCCTGGTAACTTGTCCATTTGGAGAGAGCTCCTTCCAGTTGGCTGTAATTTAAAAATATATATTTGTTGTCATAGTGGAGGTTCTCATGCTATTTCTGAGTTTTCCAAACTTAGAATATTAAGGATGTCTGTAAGTTATGTTCAGACATATTCTAGCTTTAGTAAATAAAATGCAACAGAAAGCATAAGATCCACGATCAGAAATTTTCTATCCCTTTACATACGTTCAAAAGTTGCTGCATTCTAATGTTTAATTACCTTTGTTGTTTTAAATTGAAATATTTGCAACTACTGATGCTCCACCAAAGACGACTGTATTTTTTCCCCTGTATTTCTTTATGCTATCACTTTGAGCATCACCATTGGACACTGTATTTACAGTACCTTCTGTGAAATGCTAGTAAGTGGAAAACTAGACAGGATCTTGACAGAACAACCACTAATGTCCATGACAAGATCTTCTCACTTCTGACAACAATTCACAGCATCAAGTGCAACTCAAATTAAAATTTATAACAAGATTATGAACATGGAATTCACTTCTAAGAGTATATTGACAATAAGTGTCAACAAAAATCAGATCCCTCACAGTTTCCTTCCCTTTTTCTGTTTCAAATGAATATGTCACTTAAGGGCTCTAGACCTGCAATGTTAGGCACATGCAGTCATTTTAGATGAATTTGACTCTTGTAATAATAAAACTCTGGCAATTTACTTTTCAAAATTTTTGCCAGTGCTTTATTGCTAAGCATCATTCTGCACCTCATACCCTTTTTACCTCTTGCACTGGATACAAGCAGACAGAAGAGAAGCCCAGCTGTCCTTCAGGGTTTGCAACTGCTGTTCAATCACTGGTACTCCCTCCAGAGAAGTATTTTGCAGAACAGATTCTCCTCTTGTCAGAATCATTTTCATTTGGATTTCTTTTTCTTGTTTCACTGCTAGCAGTCCCTAAAAAGTGAGCGGATATTATTTTACTTTTATCATTAACTGGGCATGAATATACTAACTGGCTTTACTGGAAAATGAACTGATCAAATTTAGCGGCTTGTACAAATAGTCAATTGAAAGAGGGACAGTGGGGTTTACAGCTGGGCTTCACAAGGGAGAAGTGACTTTCAAAGGGTAGGTTTAGGCCACTAAAAAAAATAAAAATCTTAGTTTACAGAGAAGTTTTCATGGAATCTGTGCAGGTATTTACAGTGTATCAGAGAAGGTACTGTCGGGTGGAAAAGCTGACATTCCAAAGGAAATGTCATTCAGATGGAAAACAGGAGGATTCGTTCATAGAGAAAACAAGATGTGATGACAAAGCTCTTCTACAGGGCTGAAATACAGTTCTACAACTCTAGGATCTATTTGCAACACAAAGGTACCAACATATAAACTCAGCAGGCTATCAGTGACATCAGCTTAGAGACTTCAGCTCCTGGAGCTGCGCAGTTGCAAACTAACAGCTTCTAACACTACGCAAAAGTCATGAAAAGCCTAAAAGAATGAACTTAAAAGATTCAAGGAACAAAAGGTAAACCACAAATTTTAGTATTTTGCTACAATCTCTTGCTTTTTGATGTATCCTTACAATTTTGAGGACTTGTGCATATTTTGGCCCCAGCTCAAAATCTGAGTCATCAACAATACGAAAAGAATTGTTTTCCAAGTACTGCTCTTCAACATCTTTTCTGCAGCATCAATAGATGCTATTTTCTTAACTGTAGTCACCATATTTAAAGAAGGCAATTATAGGAAAAGCTGTTCTGGGTCATCCATATCACCTGTAAGATCTAGGAAATACTATATTAAACAAACAGAAGTGAATATCCTACTTCTTCCATCGAACCTTCAGCTGCCACACAACATCTTTTGAGGTTTTTAGGAATTTGCATGTATACAGTTTTCCATGTCATAGAGGTCCCTATATCCTTCTTAGAGAAAACTTCTAATAATGAACTCTTTCTGCTATAAAAAGAGTTATTTTTGAGTGAACTGAAAATCAGCGTCTGAACAGCAACAATCGTTACACTAATATGCAACAATTAACAAAGTATCCTATATTTGCATTCTTCTTACGGATCTAAAAAGAGCAGGTTTGGGGGTCTGTTTTTTCCATACCTCTAGCTTTAGCATCCGGCTGTCCAGAACACTCTTGTCTGCAGTGGGATGACAGTAGGAATCCAGCATGTGAACCGCATCAGCCACCCAGTCCTGGAGGTCCTTGACACTGTGCGAGAACTGCTGGTGCTCTGCCACAACTCTATCCATTTTGGAAACTTTCTCCTGCAATTCATATAGCAATTAGTACCAGCAGCTATTCAAAGAACTGTGTATTCCCCATACCTACTTATGGACTTTAGAATGAGTTTCATCAACTATACTCAGAAATTCTCTTCATACATTGATAATTACAGAATCACAGAATGGTAGGTACAAGTACACTTACTCATGCATGGAATGAATTTTGCATACACACACACGAGTTGTCCAAACATAATATCTAAATGAAAATTGCAGAAATGCCTTTTTTTTTTTTTTGCTTTCTAAGTGTAAAGCTTCATCTAATTGTCTCCTCTCAACCAAAGTAGATGAGAGTTTTCTGGTTTCACTTTCTCTTAAACATCTGGTAAATCACATCTAAACTCCATTTCAGTGTTGCAACTGAAGATAACCTGTGAAATCTGTCAATGCACAAGACAGATTTAAGCCTGTGAATCTATGCCACTGCAGCAACATTACTTTGTTGACACATGGAAAAGAAAGACCTGTTCTCCTCAATGACTCCCATTGGTATAATCAATTATATGAATCAAACATAAATGCTGAAGTTACATTGCTAAAAAGGCCTGAGGTGAACAGGAAAACAGAGCAGAGTGTATTTCACATGGTGACAGAGAACAGAAGTCAAGCCAGTGAAATAGGCTTAGGAAGTTACTGAGAGGGACCTTTCTCAAACATCCATGGCTATCCAAAGAATTTCAGGATTTCTCTCATAGGCTGGATCATACATATCCTCTGCCTCAGACTCCTTCTCATCCCGACATCTCCTACAAGTTCTATACACATAAGCCAACATTAGTAACTCATGCATCCTTCCTTTTCTCTTATTGCAGTCTGGAAAATTTATTATGGCCATGTATACAACCATTTTCAGTAAGTCATACAGCTCTAGATATGCTTTATAATTTTATTTCCACAGAAGAAGTAGAAATTAACAAACTAGCAATTGTCCAAACATAAATACTTTCAGAATTGAATTGTTATCCAATAACACACTTCCTATATCCTTAATTATTCTCATTACTTTAGTAACTATAAGCCTAATTCCACAACAAGCTTCCTTCATGACTGGAACTTTGTGAAAAATAACAGTCCTAAAACAAAGACCTCCCTATCTGTTTACACAATAGAGATAGACGAAATATGAAATGGTGGTGTGTCAAGCACCACTCAGCAAAACAGAGTTAGGTTAAACTGTCAGTTCCTAGCCTGATGCTTTGTAGAGTTTGGCCTCTGCCCATCTTTGAACCTTCAAAAACAGCCTAAGAGGTAATTTTTTTAGAAGACCAATCTCCTAGTTTTAGATGAAGATGCTTACAATGCAAATAATTAATCATCTTTACAGGACGCAATGATAAAATACTTTTCTGAATTCTGTATTTTCTAAAAAAAACCCCCAAACAACACGATAAACAAACCAACCTCCCCTAAGTTCTGAAAAATAATTATTTCAGGCGTCACATTACAAAACTAAAATGTCTTCAACGTTTGAAAGAATCAAAATCAAACCTGATTATTGTATAATTATATACACAATATATTCTATATACAATAATATTATTATTGTACAATCAGGTCAGATTTACTTTTTAATCAAAACACATTTAAAAAAATTAATAATCACAATTCCATTTTGTTAACAGTCCATGGAATTATCCAGGTCCCTACTTCCCGGTCTTCAAAGCCAGTGTGAAAGACTAGATAGCTCAGACATACCACAGAGCAGACAAGCAAGACAACTGCAGTGTTTCACATTTCAGTCTTTCTTTTTCCCCACACACATCAAATGAGCTGCTGAAAAGCACATACACTGGGTGCATTACCTTTGTCAGATTGCTTAGAGTAAGATACTGAGAAGACAACTGAGACACTCTGCGCATAAAGCTTTTGCTGACAGCTTGCTCTTCCCACAGCTGCTGAGCTTTCTCTTTTAGCCTGTTGAGCTGATGCTCGTGGCAGCTTATTTCCTCAAGGACAGACTGTAAAGCACAAGCACGTTAATATTAAGAGTGGGTGCAAGTAAGCAGGAAACAGAGAAGCATGAAGGCCCCATGAAAAATAGAAGTGACATATGGCAAGCTTGCTGAGAAAGGCACACCATACGGCTACAGCAGTGAAGCAGCATGTCATGAGAAATGTGGAGATGCAAAACCTGATGGAACAGGATCATCATCAGCAATCCTTGAAACCAGTTCGCATCTTATTTAGAGGTCAAGATGCTAGAATGATCAAGCTTTTTTAAGGAATCAAGGGGACCGGAAAGATGGGACAGGAAAGTCTGGCCGTGTTAAAAAGGCTTCTAAGAAGTCACCTGCAACTTTTGTTGTTCTCTCCGCTTGGAAGGAAGATCATGGAGCCGACTGCTACTTCCTTGTACCATCTTCTCAGTTGTTGTCAGCCACTCCTGCAGAGGCTCAGCAGTTGCTTCAAAGTCCTTCATCTGGATCTTTAAGTTCTGGGAAGACATGCACAATTCTATCATCGACAGTCCCACTGCACTGGGCATAACTGCAATGCACAACACACAGATCAAGCACACGAAAAAGATATACAACTGCAGCCAAATACTATACAACTCTTCAAATAAATTACACCAGCTCTGCTCCTTCCCATCCCACAAACAGACACTGAAAGAAAAGTCTGAGAGAGCACCTCTTTAAAAGGCAAAACAGAGGCAACAATGTAGGATGGGAGGCTGAAGCAAATTGCCTCTGAACAGAAAGCTTTACAGATCTAATGTGCTTTGACTGAATGTAAGTCTAACTCACAGAGCTAAGGCACTCTGAAGAAAGGCTAATTTGAGATACGAGTTACCTAACATCTGACAGCAGTCATTCACACTGACCCCTCCTTAAATGCGCTGCCACTATTCCTAGGTGATGTATGACTAAATTCAACCCAATCTCGGGGATCATTTCTGATTACATTCTTTTTTAGTGTAAAATTTCCTTCGGTGCCTGCATATTTTTCTTGCATGTTATTCTGTTATTCTGCATGTTTTTAAAAAAGAGTATCTGAAATAACTCATATGGAATAGAAACCTGCACAGCACAGTTACTGTATCTTAGTTATTTTTATTTAATCAGTTTAATTAACTGATTTAATTTTCTTATCAGCTATAGCCTTATCACTCAAATTAAACATCAGAATGAAAAACTAAGCCTACAAGACTGAAAAATGCTTGGCTCAGAAAGATTAACCGCTAAGGACACCCTCTTTCCATGGCAACCCTGAGACAAAGAAAGGTAAGTCCTTGCTACCTGAGAACTTTCTTTGAAAGGCTTTCCTACACCATGTTTTAAATGTATTTAAACTTTTTCTCAGCTGGCTAGGCAACATAGGTTTGAAACAAGAATGCCTAGGAACTTTAATTATCCTACGCTATGCAGGGAATTCCAGCTAAGACCTCTTGACATTAAAATCTATGACCTTAAAAGAGATTACGTTTTTAAGATATTCACCTTCTGCGCTAGCTGAATTGTGAGTTCTGAGCAGAGAAAGGCACTGGGGTTTATTTAAAAAGTTGCTCAGATAAATCGTTACATTTCACCAGCTTGCAATGAGAGAAACAACATTTACCGGCTGTACTGGGACTATTCAACCAACAACAGTGACAGAAATCTGTGCTAAAACAGTCCTTAAAAAAAAGAAAATGTTTTTAGGAATCCAGTATATTTGAAGAGACTCGTCATAATAAATTTGAGCAACTGCTGTCTTTGCTACCTTCAGTTACTCTGAACAACACCCTTCTGCATGTAACACCCTACTTAAAGTAGAATCAGGTCATAAGGATATAAGTAAACAAAAGTAAAATGTAAGCGGAAGAATGAGCCTTCTTGAAAACAGCTATTTATTAGTTCTGTCACATCATAAACACTTACAGCTATACACAAAATCTAAACTGTGCGGTTAGAAACAAAGAGCAAAGAGGAAGTTCAGATCCAATCTTTCCCCACTGTGACTGGTTCAGTACCTCCAATGCAGATTCCTTCTGGTGGAGGGTGGTGATAAAATTTTTCCAATCTTCTTTAGCAGTAGCAGCTTTGTCCCGGATAACTTTAGCCTTTTCCTTTGGTAAAACAGAGCATAGCAGTTCTCCTTTGGATGCTACCAGGTTTAGTTTTTGTTGCCCATTCTCCCTTTCCGACAAGAATTCCTAAAAATAGTAATAAAGGAAGGTAATTGGTGAACTGTGTGTCCCAGTAAAGGTCAATGGCAAGCTCCCAGAAAATTTAACAGGGATAAGAATTTATTGTTTCTGCTCGTTAACATTCTAACTCATCTTTCAGTACATGACATTTTAATATCATTCATATTTATGGCATGTAGGCACAACAGCTACTTAATCCAGCAGTGCCATGCATCTAAATAATATACATAGTAATACTCTAGGATTACCCATATGTTCTGCATTTCATGAGACAATTACTGGTCATTTAGTTGGGTATTATACTACTTTAAATCTCCCCGGTACAGAAAGTGGTAACAGTTTCATTTGAGGGAGCCGGTATCCTGGCACAGGGAGCAGCCGGAGCCGGGGCACGCTCTGAGGCACACACAGCACCGAAGCCTTGCACATGGGCGTCGGCCAGGTCGGGTAGGGTGTGGGTTGATGCCTAGACCTTGAGCAATGTCTAAGCCACGTGATTTATCCCTCTGCATCCTTAATTTACCTTCCCCGTTTGAAAGTATTTTTCTTCACAGAAATCTTGCATGATTCTGGTGTGCAAGAAGTGTACGGGAAAATGCACGTGCAAGAATTACACAGAAACGTAAGGAAACAACCAGGTTTTCAAATTCCAATATACTGGGATAATATTCTTATAACTTGTAATTATTTGTGAGCATTTAGGACTCAAAGGAATTTAGCAGTCTTAAATAACAATATTTTAAACTGTTACTATCATGATTATGTAATACACAAAGAGTTTTATATCCATAATCATAAGGTTACATCCACATTCAGAAGTAACAGGCTTGGTACAAAAATTACTAAGTCAGGTACTGATTCTGTGTTACACTAGAGGTCTTAGTAGAGAATGCAAAGGGTCTGTTAGCTTTGAGATACTTGGTTCAAGTTCTGGCTATATTAAAATCAAAGATATAATAGCCTTCTGACTTAACAATATCAAATGTGTTAACAGACAGAACAATGACTTTTAACAAAAATAAAATGTTAAGTTTATACAAGTTACCAACATCTCTAGAAGTCCTAAAGCAGTTACTGCATGTCAAAAAAAAAAAAAAAAATTATTTCATCTAAAGCAGCTTTCAGGGAGGAAGACAACAAAGTAAGGTCTTATGCTACGAAGGGGCTGTGGTGATAAAGACAAAAAGTCTTACCACTGTTGAAAAAAAAAAGCAAACACCACCACAAACCACCTTGCTAAAACTCTAATATTTAATGTCAAAACTACTAGGATTTTTCCCCGATATTTTCCTCTAAACATATTCTCATTTTGGGTCAGTCAAAGATTTGGATATATTAATACAGTACTTTTTACGCTTTTAAGTAAACCATTTAAGCAAGGGAAAGTGAATGTACCAAAAGGAAGAGGATTTGGGTTTTGGTATTTTCTGAGAAACTGATATGAATTTCTTCTGTTATACTCTCCAACTGAAGGTTTAACGGAGTCATTATGTAATTCTCATTTTGCTATTTTCAGTTAAAATTATAGTTATATTCTATTCATAAAAGTATTTCTTTCTTTATTAAAAAACCTCTTTCAACTGGCATTACTATCCACAGAGTTGCTGGGGCATGTTTTATGTTATGTGAAAAATACATGAAAATATTTAAATGCCTGCTTGCACTGCGTACTTTTTAACTCTGTTCTTGCACTATAAGGGCTCTACTTTCACATATGAGCCAAAATATTTATGAAACTTTGAAATAATTCCAGGTACTAAGTCCCAAATCTGATATCGTTCTGATTTTACAGTACTCTCCTACTTTCAAAACATGTATTTTTTTCCTATTGTAAAAATGAAACAAGCAAGGAAAACTACTGTGAGAGACAATCACTACACACAAACAGTAGCCCAACAATTAAACTAAACAAACTAGATTAAAAAAGAAAAATATCAGTGCTTATTTCCTTGCAATTAGTCACCTTTAGTGTTGACAATAACAACATTAACAAAAGACAGTAATTAACCAAACAATTCAATCTGGGCTTTATACGAAACTGGCTGGGTCCCCCTTAGATTAATATTTAACTAGAGTAGGTAGAGTTACCTGTATTTTCTGCAGACTTGCTGAAGCTTCACTGATATTTTGAGGCACATCAAAGCATTTGGCTGTGGTGACTCTCGCATTGACCAGCCACTGCTGGAAGTCCCTGAAAGCCGTCCGAAATCTTTGCTGCAAGATCTGCTCTTTGCTCTGACAACCTTTTGAAGCTTGCAGGCAGAGGCTGGGTTTGTCGCGTCAGGGAAGCAGAAGAGAGCGAGGGAGGGAGGGAAGGCAGGACGCTGTTAGGTGACAATGCTATTACTTAGTTCTCTCAAATACAATGGTAAGGTTAGGTTAACCTGGATTCCTCCTACCAAATTTAAGCACTTAACTGAGGCACCAGGATATCCATTAGAAGCTTTCAGTTCCTTAAAAGTGAAGCGTGTAAATTGTGCCATAACCGTCACAGATATGACAGGTATAAGTGTTTCCAGAGAGTGACTCAGCGCACCTAAGCATGAACAGTTTCTGCAAGTCTCTTTCGCTCTCTAGGGACAGAATAAAGAACTACAGAGACCACAATTCTAACTTCTGTGGCTCGGTTAAATTCATAACGTTAGAAGAGATCAGTCTGGGTCATCACACCCTTCTTCTGCAGCTACAGAAACCAAAAGCTGTAACCCCCTGCAAGAAAGAACAGAATCTTGTGTTTGAAATGCAGGTGTCACTCTCCCAGGTAAATCAGCTAGAGTGACCTGAGAGAAAGTTTCCCTGTTTCAAGGAACTGGCTAGTCAAAGATGAGTAAACTGAAGGACAAAATTAAGAAAGAGATCTTAAAAAGCTCGTATAGCTTGTTCCTCCTTCAGACAAATAAGCCATAGTGCTACCTCACAGTTTCTTACAAGGATTCCTCCTGTAATAGGTCAGGTGTGGATACGCATTAGTTTCAGGTGAGTTCAGTGGCTTTTAGGAAAAAAAAAACCCAACAAACAAACCAACAACAAATTGCTACTTTTTACAACCTCTGTTGACACCAAAATCAAAATAATGATTCTAATCATTGTATACCTCAGTTTCTAATTCTAAAATTCTAATTAATGGTTCCTTAAAAGGCAGCTCACACACACACACGTGATTGATTAACTATAAACAAGATGAATGTGTACCTGTTATACTCCTTAATCAACCCTGAAACTTTCGAAGAATGAGCACTCAAATCTCTGGAAAATCTACAAAGATCATTTAACTGAGTTTTGATCTCATCTGTCATATGTTCAGACTTTACCAGAGCATCCAATGTTTCCTGTTAAAACAAAACATATGAACAATACTGGTGAGTAAAAAGAAAAACAGTGTAATATTTTGAATCAAAATTTATCAGAATTTAAATGCAACTTCATTTATGATCTACGCACGTTCACTTTCAAGACTATTTTAGCAGTCTAACCTACAGAAGCTTATTTGAAATTCTGAGCTCCTAGAGACCAAATTTCTAGAAGGCTCAACTTCCTTAGCTCAAAATGTTCTCAAAGAACAGGTTAAGATATAAATTTCATTTTAATAAGCGAGCTATGGTATTGCCAGTTAGCTGTATACATATAAAAATACATACAGTTAGGGAATAGCAAATAATATATGATCATATAAATATAATTAGCCTGTTGGCTTGAGTTTAGCATGTTCAATAAAAACTGTTTGGAGCTGTATAAAAAAAAATAATTTACGCACAAAGCTTTTAACAGCTTCAACTCTTTCACAGAGGGCTTCATAATGTAATATTACAGCTGCTTACAGTGCTGTGAGAGTAAATGGGTTACTGCCTGTCATTGCTGCACTGGAAAGACTCTTGCTTTGGAGACAGCCATGCTTTTGTTGGCTTAGCTTACGTCACTGGGAGAGGTGTGATAACCACTCCAACAAAAACAGTCCTTGTTGACGTCCACAGCATCTCCACTGCAGCATCCCGCCAGCTACTCCAGCATAATGAACAGTTCAGACTTGGCTCGTCTCACCAGAAACTAAATTCTTCAGGCATTCCTCGTCAACTACCAGGGAGAAAAGACAATCTCCCAGCTAGTTACATTCACCGTGGCAGAGCTGCTGCAGCACAGGCAGGCCAGAGCGTTTGGCACGTATAGATTAGTTTGGCTAAACTGAAGCGCCAAGCTGGCAGAAATGTCCAATATAAACTTAAGAAACAGATCACATGAGAGTGAAGACAGATTTGAATGGGACATGGCAGTGGGACAAGGAAGTCCCCAAATCACGTTTCTGCATATATATAAAAAAAGGATGATTGGAAATATACATAGTAAACAGTTTGTAATAATCTATCAGCACAAAACTGAATGTTCAGGAAAGGTACAAATGATGGACATGAAAATATATCCAGAAGGTTTTCAAAATATCACAATCTACATCATAGAGATGTAAATGCTCATGAGTTTTTACTGTAAATAACTAACTCTGCAATAAACAGATATCCCTTTATGTAAATCAAAGGTAAAAAGAAACATTAGCAAGGGTCTAGTAAGCTGATCAACAGACTTAGTAAGAACAGCAAATGGACAAAAGCCAGGGATTCAGTTCATGTGTCTGCTGCCCACAAGCAACTTTGTGCTTGCTTCATACCCCTTTTCCTGAAAAAGTCTGGAGAACTGTGAAATTAAAATTTTTTTTTTTAAATCTATATCATGCATTTCTGAGTAAGTTAAAAAAAAAAATAAATATATATATATATATTGCTTCTTTGTAGTACCTGAATTGCCAGGAAGAAAAACCACAACAATCCATTTTGAGAAAATTAATAAAACTAGAAGCATGCGTTGGCTATGAATAACAATGGTTTAAACCATGATCACAGTTTGGTTATAGTAACATTACTGAAATCTGTTTGCATTCAGAGATCACAGGGAAGCCCTGTAAAATTAAGTCTAGAGACATTTCAGATGTATTATGTGTACAAACTTTCATGTGGTCTTGTGAGTATGAAAAAATATTTTGCTACAGCAGATTTTCAGACCTCCTCTGATTTACATTATCCATGCTTGTACTATGGACTTTATCTGCTTTGAGTCACTCACACACCAGAAATCTGTTTAACCATAATTAAAAGATATTTGAAATACTCACACTGCCAGTTTGTTTTGATGCCATATAAAGTAGCATTTGAATTAAGTAATTATGTCACAGCTATGATGCTTAGAAAAAAATGTAAACTAACTACTTTTTTGTTTATATTACTTAATGTTAAACTACACACAGGACTTTTCTGAAAGCATTAGGAAAAACAACACAATGGCCATTACTTAAACACAGGATGTCACAAATTGTGTAGGGCAGGAATCACCATAATGAAATACTAACAGCTTTTTTTTTTTTTTTTTCTGGTAAAGAAACACGTCCTAAGAATAGCACAGGGTTAAAATTGCCTGCTTTCAATCAAATTTTTTAGTTTCGAATAACCTACCTCAGTAACTACTAACAGATTATTCTGATGACATACAGCCTTAGGCATAACCCATTAACAAACAGGAATATTAACTTGCAAAACAGAGTAGATTTAACTATGGCATTTTCCCATACAGAAACACTGCTAGCACTGTTGCAGCCACTTGGGTTTAATTTTGGATTACCAAAACAATTTGCTGAATTCCAAGTGCAACATCTGTTGCTCTGATGTTGCAGATACCTAAAAGAACAAAGGTTGAGCATAACAGAATGGGCTTGCTAATTCTGAGAATTAGGAAATGCATTTTTAATTCGTGGCCTTGGCTTACATGGCAACAGAATCACTGTGAGACAATGGAAATGGAAAGCTGCAGTGCTATTTTATGTTCACAATAGGACCTATCCCTGGGGTCCAGAAATGGAAGGATTACTGTCACATTTCCTCTAAGTATAAATAAAATCACATAGTAGGGCTGTGCATAATAAGTCTTGAGGTTCCTCTGCATTTTCCACCTTAGGCAATTTACAACTGTCTAATCTAAATAAAGTGTTGTTACATAGAGCTACTGTACCTCCACAGTATATATACTACTAATAAAAGCAATATCCTTTTAATTTAGTACTTCTCCATTTATAAAATAAAAAAAGTCTGGTAATCGCTGCTGTATGTTGATGACAATTCCATGTCTTGCTTTCCTTTTTAAAAACACATAAACGTGGAAGACTTTGCATATTTGTACCATTATTTGCTCCAATGTAATGTCACCTTTGTTACTCCTAACAGATACCTCCTGGCACTCAGGCAAGCAAGTTCCATAAATCTGTGTCAGGGAATTTTGTGAAAGGGGAAGCCACAGAAATAACTTGGCACAGACGTTGGAGGAGGAGAGTTATAACCTCAGCTCAAAGAGAAGGTGTTCTGGGGTTTTTTGAATATTTCTTCAGTCAAGGGGTCAGAAAGCAGGCATCACACGCCTCTTTTCCTTTACTGAAACTGCTTCATTGCAACACTACCCTGAAAGGGAACTATTCTATCTTTTCGCAAAATTTGTAATTCACAGTAGTCGAGATACAAACGTGTATCTTGATTGTTGTGAATATATACATATTTATATAATGTGTGATACATACACGTGGAAATTTTTGCTAGACGACAATCAGGAACAGAAACAACCTCTCTATGTCTCTAAATTCCACTGCATTCCACAGCAAAGCAATCAGTAAGTGTAACTTCTTTATGCACTGGACTAGATCTCAGCGTGCATAATGTGAAGGATATTTCAAGAAATGTGAAGGATATTTCAAGAAATGTGAAGGATATTTCAAGAAATGGAAAGTATAAGCTCAACACACTCCTGACAAATTATAAGAAAGAAATGGTTCCAGCTGCTACTTGGCTTTTAGGAAATGCTTCGCATTTCCCCGATCAAGTGCTTGAAACATTGAGCAACTTGGAAGAGAAGTTTGGAGCTGGTGTGCTAGCTCCTTCACTTTCTCAGAGGCAACCCCTATTTTTATCATCTTAGATCCGGGCAGCATTCGCTAAGCCTGGTACAGCAGAGGCCAGGGAAAGAAAGGTCTTCTATAAACACTGCTTGCTACGATTACAGTTACAAAAAAAGTTTGGAAAGTTGGGATTTCACAGAACTATTTTTCACGAATACATTTTATTGTTTTCTACTTGATAGTCCTGCTCGGCAGAAGTTTTTCTGCCCACAGTCACCGTACATTTACAAGCGAAAAGCTGCTAGGAAAAGAGATGTGACCTTACTTTCTCCTTGCGCCAGCTTTCCACGACCTCGGCGTCGGTGTGCCGGCTGTCGAGGGGGACCAGGCTCTGGGACCAGGCGGCCA